AATTGGGATGAAATTTAATAATTAATTTATTATTATTTAATTAGGTATAAAAAACCTGATTTTTGAAATATTAAACTAGTGATCTGATTTGTGAAAATAGAAATCTAAATCTAGGCCTAGATGTAATTTCCTCTTTTAAAATTTTGAATTTGTATTTTAACTGAAAAAAAAAAAATTAACAAATGAGGCAGGCCCATGCCCCCACCCGCCCTGAGCCCTCCCCATCTAAGGCGGGGCGGGGGCAAGGGAGAGGCATGGCGTGGTGTGGCGTGGTGGGATGGGGGTGTCCTGCCCCGTTGCCATTACTATCCTAACGCTGTACGTAAATAAGCATAAAAATATGTATGGTCGCTCTCTATATATATTACAACAAACTTTAAGAATTTTAAATATTCTAATGAAAATGAGTCAATTATTTCCATCGTTCTATCATTGTCATTAATACTTAATCGGCGCAAGATTACAATTACAAGGTTTATGCCTTTACCCTTGTCAATTTACCACAATCCTCTTTCTTTATTAAAAGAAAAATAGGGGAAGGTAGATGATTGACCACTCAAAACCCACTAATATTCATGAAGTGAGTTGTTAAGAAAGTAATTTTCTAATTATAAAAAGGACAATAAATTAATCCTACTTTCTTGGCAATCATTACATTGATAATTAAAATATTAGAGATCAAACAATTTAAAAACATAAATAAAATGGAACTAAAATAATCGTCCATGATATTAACTATTCTAATTTCTATCCAATAGCCATCATCATCTTAACAAATTCATCAAAACAGACTTGTCCATCACCATCCAAATCAGCCTCTCTTATCATCTGTTCTACCTCTTCATCTGTTAATTTTTCCCCAAGATTGATCATCACGTGCCTTAGCTGCATGAAATCAAAAGGGTTTTTGTTTAATGACTTGCAGAATCTCTTGAAGTTCCACCAATTTAAAAATGAGTAAAATACGATATTTAATTGATCTCAACTTTGGTAAAGTTCATTGCATGATAGATGTGCTAAGTGAACAACTGTAAAAACAGCTATATTTAAACCTAATGACAGATCAATAATCATGTGAACTCTAGGGTCTATGTGTGGAATAGATTGACCATTAGGATTCGTCTACTCGATTTTAAATTTCTTGACAATAAAACTTAGTTCGTTGTGATTGGTGCTTTTCGTTTTTATTTAATCTCTATAACATTATGAGAAAAAGCCTCGCAATTATAGAACATTATGATTATCGTTTTAAAGAATATTCAGCCTTGCTTGGTCCACATTATTTTCATTTTTCTGCTCATTTTCAATTACAAATTCTTCAATAAAATAATATTTTATATCACATAAATAATTTTTTCTTCTTTTTCAACCACGTATTCCTCATCACATCAACAGTAAAAATACATTCTTACCTTCAAAATGTGTACCAAACGGGGGCTCAACTTCATTTACAAGTCATGTTTGTTAACCACCTTATTTAAATAACTCAAGCTAATATATATGGGGTGGACACATAACATTTATTAATTTGTTACTCTTTATCGGAGGCATGAGCTGCTCGTAATTTTCATAAATGGGTGGGGGCAAAACTTCACCTAAGGACTTTGGATTTGTCTTTATCTAAAAGTTTAAGTTGTTAAAGATGGTGTGATGCTCACCTCGGTAGCTGATATGTAACCATTTTGATCCTTGTCAAACACTTTGAAAGCTTCTTTGAGCTCCTCCTCTGCATCAGTTTCCTAATAAGTATCAAAACACATCCATCAGGCTTAATGTGTAATCACAAAATGCAGTAAAAAATCTTGCAGAAATTCTGAATAATAATATTAATTAAGAATTCAATATCAAGCTTCACCTTCATTTTGTTGGCCATAAGGCTCAAGAATTCTGAGAATTCTATGGTCCCATTTCCATCGGAATCGACTTCATTGATCATGTCATGGAGTTCTTCCTCAGTAGGATTTTGATCCAAAGACCTGATTACTGTAGCCAATTCTTCAATGGTAATACAACCTGCAATTCAATCAGCAGTTTCATAATAATGTCGAGCTGAAATTACACACACGCGGCAAGAGGGGGACGAGAAAGTATTAAGGGACAAACTAAGAACTGACTAGTACTATGTAACAAACATGCGTTTTTTTTTTTTCACTTTCTTGTAAACTAGTTCATGGCAAGTAAAACTAACCGTCTCCATCTTTGTCAAATAGACTGAAGGCCTCCTGGAACTCCACAATCTGTTCTTCATTTAGAACATCTGCCATGATGTTTCTGTGTGTGTGTTAGGCAGAGAGAGAAATAGAGAGATAGAGAGAGCGAAAGAGAGAGAGTTGAGTATTCTTCAATCCTCCTTTGGTCTTTATATATGTAGAAATCTAGAGGGGGTGTGGGATTAGGCTTGTAAATGCATTCCATTTTCACTAAAATTTACAAAATTCATAAAAAAAATTAGGAGTCAAATAAATCTAGTGACTTGAGTAGGTCAATATTGCATATTATTACAAAATATTGCTGGTAAAACCCTTCAAACAAACCTAGAAGATGTAAACTTCAATTGAATTTGTGACTTGAATAAGTCAATAATGCATTATATAATTATGAGATATCTAAGAACAATATCACAAAATATTTCAAGTCAAACACTTGAAACAAACGTAGAAGACGTAAAATTTACCATTCGTTCTAATATACCAACGAATCGAACATCTCTAAAACTATTTTATTCTTAAGTTTTATGATAAAGTAAATTTAAAAGAAGATTATTCTATAATTGAATGTCGGACTAATTCGTGAAAGCATCATGAAAAAACGACCAAATGTCCATTGACTATTGATCCCATTCTTTCTTCTCTCCTACTCCCACCGGCCATCCCATGACCTCTTAAAATCTCTTCCTTGGATTTTCTCTTGACCTAATTTCTATGTTCATATTGGTTGCATTTGTGCAATTTTAATGCTCATGAACTTATAAAATAAATTTATACAGCTGTATTGGTTTCATGTTTAGGAGACAGAGAAAATTCAAAGAGAAGACTGGAGGTGGCGGGTTTGGGGGTGGGGTGCACTAAGTAAACCCACGATTTTCCAACCAAGGCAATGCTGCGTTGCTTACACGAGGGTTGATATTTTTAACACTGCCGTATTGAAGCCTCTTCAACTTTGTTAAACAAATAATTATTTGGAAAAATGCAAACAATGCTCCTTAACTTATTGTTTTACTAGCAAGGAAGTTGTTAGAATTTTGGGCGTGACTCGAATTTATTGTTGAAATAATTGAATAATTCTAATTGAAGTGCACGTCATGAAGAATTCTAATTTGAAATATTATTGGAGTTCTATGTCATGTTCAAGTTCTATTTTGAAAACCGAGAGTTAGAATTTGTTTTTTACCCAATTTTATGGTATTCTCTTCATCAACAACTCTATTATGTGGGTTTGGACATCCCCTACTTATTCACTATAAATACTAGGCTTTTCTATACAATTTTATAATGTGAGAAAATAGATTACTAGAATTATAGGATTTATTGTAATTTTCTCTCCTCCATTATTCTTGATTCAATAAAATCTCTTAATT